GGCCTCCACTCAGTAGCTTCGTCTGGGTTTTCATCTGAAAGCCGATCAACGTATCCAGATGTGCAATTCAGAATCCTAAACCAACCCTGGTGACTTTAAGATAGATTCCCCATCCAGCTTGCTGTTTAGTTGTTTGTTTAGACTGAATTTATCTTTATCTTTATCTATCAAGTCTTCCCAAGGATCTGGGATAGGCAGATGATGTTAAAAAATCTTGCTGCAGGATGTAAGTTGTTCCAGCTAAAGTTGCCTTTTGCAATTGATTGGTTGTCAATGCCGATGGGTGTTCAAGGGGTTAGCACAGGGGTCTTCAAACTTGGCACTTTTATGACTTGTGGACTTCAACTCTCAGCACGCTGGCGGAGGAATTCTGGGAGTTGAAGTCCACAAGTCATAAAAGCGCCAAGTTTGAAGACCCCCTGGGTTAGTAGGATGAGCGGAAGCTTAATAATTCAAGTCCTAGCCAACGATCATTGAGGTAGCCTCTAAAATAATACGCAGTTCCAAGCAGGATGGTTATTATGGCGATTGTTTTTATTATGTATTAAAACTAATACGGTCAAGGGTACTCAGAATTGTAAGATAAGCATAATGGAAGTGACAGACAGATTGCAAAAAGCTGGCTGAAACATTCATCACTCGTGTAAAAATATAAGTTGCCTAGAAACTCTCTAGGAGAGATCCCATTTAAAAGAACTGTAACTATCAAACTGTCACAAGAACTCTCATTAAAATAATCCCAGGCAGCTGTAGCCACTCAATTTTGATATGACTCTTAAAAATGATTCAGACATATGACATGTTTTACCTTTCCGAAATCTCTTGTTCCTCTCTGTTACATGAAAGCGAATAGTCCTGTTTTTAGTTCCACGGTCTGTCACTTCCTTACATCAAACAGAGATCAACCAGAAGGGAAGTTCCAAAACCTGAATTCCATCCAGGTTTCCAGGAGAAGAGAAAAATGAGCCTCCTAGCTGGATAAAGTTGATCTAATTTGGTGTCTACCAGTCATAACAGGACAGAATTTGCAAAACGTCCTGTAAGTCACCGGACGGGCAATTTTAGAAATTTGAGGACAATTGAGAACTTCCATTTCTCCATTGCCTTGGAGACAAGCCGGAGAAGATCCTGTTGATGGCCACCACTTACTTTTCACCTTTGTTTCAGCACGGGTGAACAAATGACAGACGTACAAATGTCGACTCTCTTTATCCTCTAACAACACCAGCTGGGCTGCCCCAGAGGCGTTCTTGCCAATACAAATTATGTTGGATCCTGATGTTTTGCTCTGCCACAAGGTATTCTCCCATTTTTTTTTAAATTGAAAGGCTATTTAGACAATGTTTAGAAGGGTAAGGTGTCCTCCTGGGATCAGACGACCTGATGTAATGGCATATGGGAATGACCACGTGATAGATGGAAACCAGGGACACTGCTTAGGGAGCAGTCAGATAAGGGACTGCTTAGCCCTCATCTGTATAATGGGCAAGGTAAGAGGCTCAGAAGGGAAATTCCCTAGTTTCTTAGGCTGTAGAGAGATGGCTGTAATGGCATGTGGGAGAGACCTTGGGAGACGGGGAGAAGAGATGCTGCCTAGGGCAGGGGTGTCAAACTGGCGGCCTGCGGGCCGGATGCGTCACGCGCAGGCCACACCCACCCTGGCTCCGCAAAGGCAAAAAAGAACATCATTTGTTGGACACCCGTGGCCTAGGGGATGAACAGATAAGAGACAGCATAGCCCAGAGCAACATAACAGGTGGAGAAAGAGGCTTAGAAGGGACCCTTCCCAATTTCTCAAGCTGTAAAGCATACGGCTATAATGGTACGTGGGAAAGACCTTGGGAGACTGGGAGAAGAGACGCTGCCTAGGGAATGGTCAGATAAGAGATAGCATGGCCCACAGCTGCATAATGGGTGGAGAAAGAGACTCGGAAGTGACCGTCCCTAGTTTCTCATCCTGTAAAGGAGGCGGCTGTAACAGTATGTGGGAAAGATCTACGGAGACAAGGAGAAGAGCTGCAGCCTACGGGATAAACAGATAAGAGACAGCCCAGCCAGAGTAGCATAACTGGCAGAGCAAGAGGTTCGGAAGGGACCCTCCTTAGTTTCTCAGGCTGTAAAGGAGGGGGCTACAATGGTATGTGTGAAAGCCTTTGAGAGACTGGGCAAAGAGACGCTGCCAAGGGAACGGTCAGATAAGGGACCACTTACCCCATAGCTGGACAATGGGTGGGGTAAGAGACTCAACAAGGGACCCTCCCCAGTTTCTCAGGCTGTAAAGCAGGCGGCCGTAACAATATGTGGGAAGACCTTGGAAGATGGGGCAGAAAAGGACAGAAGAGAGGCTGCCTAAGGAGCAGTCAGATAAGAGACGGCATAGCCCACAGCTGCATAATGGGTGGGGAAAGAGGGTCAGAAGGGACCCTCCCTAGTTTCTCAAGCAGTATAGGAGGAGGCTACAATGGTATGTGGGGAAGACCTTGGGAGACAGGGCAAAGAGATGCTTCCAAGGGAATGGTCAGATAAGGGACCGCTTACCCCACAGCTGGACAATGGGTGGGGCAAGAGGCTTAGAAGTGACCCTCCCTAATTTCTCAGGCTGTAAAGGAGACAGTGGTAGATTCGTACTTTCAAAATTGTAGGATTATATCAATGTAGCCTTGCAATAAAATAGAATTAGCTCCATTAGTCACGTTTCTCGTCTTCTACCTGGTAAGGCTGACCCCACTCGTCCTTCTTACCTTGACCCAGAGAGGCGGCAATTCCATTCATCAACTGGGCTAAAGATTTGCTAGGAGAGCCAGGAAGAGCCGAGGAGGCCAACAGGTTAGTGCCTAGGAGATCAAACTTCCCAGCTTGTTGCCGAAACTTTTCCAGCTCCTTGGACAGGAGGTTGAATTGCTCACTCTGCGTCCGACATTTCTCTTCGAGCTCACAGACTTTGGCCTGGGCAAACGGAGAGGAGAAAAGAACTGCAAGGCTTGTCAAAGGGCAAATGTACGCCGAGATAGCAAAGGATCGCTATGTTTCCTGTCTCTGCCCTGAACAAATTGTGATTTCCTGTCCAAATCCTTCCCAAGAACAATCCATACAGACAAACGGAATAGGCAAACGCGGCAATCTCTGATTATGGCCCGGTTTGAAATGTTCAGTGGCCCTCTGTTACTATCGGTGGGAACATGCAGGTTTAAGGCCTAGCAGAGTTGTGTCAGAAGTTGAGAAATGTAGAATAATAGGGTTGGAAGGGACCTTGGAGGTCTTCCAGTCCAACCCCTACTCAAGCAGGAGACCCTCTACCATTCTGGACAAATGGCTGTCCAGTCTCTTCTTAAAAACCTCCAGTGATGGAGCACCCACAATTTGTCGTAATTTACGTTAATTTATCCAGCTAATTATAGGACATAGAATAACAGAGTTGGAAGGGACCTTGGAGGTCTTCTAGTCCAACCCCCTGCTGGAGCAGCAAACCCTATACCATTTCAGACAAATGGCTGTCCAGTCTTTTCTGGGAAACCTCAAGAGATGGAGCACCCACAACTTCTGGAGGGAAGCCCTTCCATTAATTGTTCTCACTGTCAGGAAATGTCTCCTTAATTCTAGGTTGCTTCTCTTTGTTAAGCTTCCAATTGTTACTTCTTGTCCTGCCCTCGGGTGCTTTGGAGACCAGTTCAACCCCCTCTTTTCTGTGACAGACCCTCAAGTACTGGAAGACTGCTCTCATAGCATCCCCAATTCTTCATTAGACTGGACATATCTAGTTTCCCTCAATCGTTCATTGTATGGTTGAGCCTCTGGACCCCTTACTTTCTTTGTTGCTCTTTCTAAGACTAAATTGTTGTCTCAAGTTGTTGGTTGAACCACGCTGGCCTTGAAAAAGACCGCAACTTCCCCAACAATGTCCCTAATCTCCATGAAGATCCATGAACTCCAACTATTGTTCCACAGGGTCTCAGATGGGACAAAAGTGACGTGCCAGAAAAAGGCATGGCCTGGAAGCTCAAGCTGGTCACTGCCATCATCTCAGCCTTCGCTACACATGGACGGAATGTGCTAGAAATGGTTGAAACCATCCTCCATCGATGGTGGGTGAATGGCAGCCCATCAAACCATTCTGGTATGATTACTACACCCAAAACTAGGTCAAAAGGTTCTCCACACCCTTCCAACACCTATCTAGATTAAGCCCTGGCAATTTCAGGGAAGTTTCCTATCCATGTTCTAACCAGGTCTGGCATTCCTAAACTTCTTTCAAGATTAGCCAAGGGCATCTTAAGAGTTGCCGCCTGCTCAGGCATCACTACGAGGCCTTGCAGCCAAATTCAAGTTCCTTCTGGAATCTCTCCTGGCTAGGACCAAGATCTTCTACTGTAAATTCAGACAAACTCTGCACGCAGTCGTAAGAAACTTTCCACTTTGCACGGAGAAGAAGTTTTGCACAGTTCTGCCGAGGCCTACTCTTTCGGATTCGTGGCCAACCACCAGCAGATGGTCTCCAGGAGTTGTTAGACACTGAGCATTTATCGGTTGAAGGATCTCCCGTTCGCTTGGCCATCCAACCAAGCCATGCGCCAATATTCACATCAAGCAATTCGGCATGCTTTTTTTTGGGGGGGGGGAAACAATCGTGTTTATGGTTCCATGCAAAGGGAGGCCCAGGGCATCTGGGGGGGGGGATTCTGGCAGTGATTGGGTAGAAGAAGTCCCAGAGAAGATTTTTTCCCTCCTCCCTCCCCCCTCTCCCTTCCATCTAAAAATACCTGCATACTGTCCAAAGTGATCTGGATGAGAAGCAAAGCAATACATAGAAGAAGAAAAAAAACAAAAGACACAGGATGGGGGGGGAAAAAAAAGTTGTGCGTTAAAAGAAAGATTTACAAAAAGCCAAAACAGCCAAACAACAGACACGTCCATCATGTTTGGTACTCTACAAAGCAATACACATGTTGCCTGTTACTACAGGTCTGAAACTGTTTCAGATCTTCTGGAATTGTTCTCTCCCTTCCTCCCTGCTTCTTTCTTTCTTTCTTTCTTTCTTTCTTTCTTTCTTTCTTTCTTTCTTTCTTTCTTTCTTTCTTTCTTTCTTTTTCTTTCTTTCCTTTCTTTTCCTTCCTTCCTTCCTCCCTTCCTTCAATTTAGGTGCTGCCCATCTTGCTGACAAGCTTGCAAGGCATCTTGGGAACAAGAGCTTGGACAAGATTTCAAAGGCTTCATGTTCCCATCTCCTCGCCCAAATGAAGACCATCCTGTTATTTGAAACCAAGGCTGGAGAGAGACCCAGAGGCCATGCTTTGCAAATCTGAGTCCTGATGGGTAGAAATGACTACATCGCCTTCCATGCACCCCCTTTTGCTAAAAAAAAACCAGAAGAAGTTTCCCTATGGGTGGAAGGGGTGCCTATGCCACGTTCCTGAAGCTGTAGATTGGTAGGCTATCGGAATACCTCAAGAAGCATGGAAGATGCCCTTGCTGTCTTCTTCTATAAAAAAAGGCCAGCAAGATGGTTGAGGAGCTATCTGAGAAAACGGCAGCCATCCCACCAATGAGTAAGAGGGGAAAAAGTCCACCTTAGCAAGAACATTCATGGAGGGCAGAGGTAGTCGTTCCAAAAAAAAAAAAACCACAGTTGGGTGGCCTCAACTGTGAGATCAAGGCCTCCACCCACTTTTTCCATCAGCGACTGGTGAGAAAAGTCGGGCCATCAATTGCATGGCATGTCCCAAAGGTGCTTTTCCCAAAAGGCAACTGGACTTTCTTTGAAAAGGTTTCGCTTCTCATCCGGGAAGCTTCTTCAGTTCTGAAGTTTTACAGTTCTGAAGAAGCTTCTCTGATGAGAAACGAAACGTTTTTCAAAGAAACATAAAAAACACGGAAGTCCAGTTGCCTTTTGGAAAAAGCACCTTTGGAACAACAGTGACCTGGATGGCTGAGAATCTCCATAGTTGACTGCAGGGCATCCAGTGGTGGGATTCAGCCATTTTCGCACCACTTCGGCAGAACCGGTAGCTAATTTTTGGTTGCCCAGGCCCAGAATGGACTTCCGGAAGTGGCATCCACACCGGTTGTTCACCTATTTGAATCACCGCCACTGATGGCATCCGTCTTGACTTTGTAACTTGCTGAGCAGAAGAATAGAGGCTATGACGAAGATGCTCCTGTTGGCTCTTTTACTAGAACCTTATACTTGTTGTAAACATTTTCCTGCCTTTTAGTGGAAGAATCTTCCTCTAAGAATCTTCCGTTTCGCGGATTGCCAGTTGAATGGGAAAAGGCAAATGCTGGAATTTCGCAATGTCATCCAGTGCGGCAAACACAAGCTTTGAAACTAGTTTTCAACAGGTAACATAGATACTCCTGCTAGTACACTTACCACTCTTTAAGAGAAAGGGGGGTGGAAAGGAAGCATGCATCAAAAGGAACCACGCTGGGATATATTTTGAGGGCGGGGAGAAAACATCAGTATGGTTGCTGATTTGGAATCTCGACGGGCCAATGAAATAAACACATCTGGGGGAAATTTAATAATAAGCTCTAAAGCTACGTCCGATCGGTCAGGAAGTCACAGAGGAAGGGAAACGGCAGGTGAATTGGAATTGCAAAAAAGGAAAAAAGGAAAAAAAAAGTCATTTACCCTAATCAGAGCCCTTTCCCTCTTGGGACTGATCTAATTTTCTTTTGCAAGCACCAAAAATGTCTGAGCCATTTGGACTTTTGATTTTTTTCTTTTTTTAAAAAAAAAATCAATGTTAATACATTTAGCGGTAACAGTAAAACACACAGGAACGTTTTGCCGGTAAAGCTCTATCAATTTAAAACAACAACAACAACAACACATGTTTGCAGCAGTTCAGAATCACTGATGCTGGTTCTAAACATGTAGACGCAAGCAGAAATAAAATCAGAAGCGAACACTGTTCGCATCAGTTGGTTTCCTTGTCTCACTAGCAATAGAAAGATCATAAAATTCAATCAGAATGGAGCTGGGAGGGACCTTGGAGGTCTTCTAGTCCAATTCCCAGGATCTCTGCTAGAGATCCTGTCCAGTCTCTTCTTAAAAACCTCCAGTGATGGAGCACCCACAACTTCCAAAGGCCAGCTGTTTCACTGGTTAATTGTCTTCACTATCAGGCAGTTTCTCCTTAGTTCCAGGTTGCTTCTCTCCTTGATGCAGGGATGCAGGCAACACACAAAACCACGCACCCTCCGGTCTGCGGAAAAACCTCTCTTCACGGAACTGGTCCCTGGTGTCCAAAAGGTTGGGGACCTCTGATCTAGCAGTTGATTAATTTAGCAATTGATTAAGGCACAGGTAGTCCTTGATTTACGCCAGAAATTTGTTAAGTGAGTTTTGCCCTATTTTATGCCCTTTTCCGGCCACGTGTGTTAAGTGAATCCTTGCCAGTTGTTAACTTAGTAACGTGGTTGTTAAGAGAATCTGGCTTCCCCCATTGGCTTTGCTTGCCAGAAAGTTACAAAAGGGGATCATGTGACCCCGGGAAGCGTCGTAAATATGAGCCAGCTGCCAAGTGTCTGAATTTTGATCACGTGACCATGGGGATGCTACAACGGGCAAAAGTTTGAAAAACGGTCCTAAGTCACTTTTTTCCAGTGCCGTTGTAACTTCGAACGGTCACTAAATGAACTGTTGTATGTCTAGGACTACCTGTATTTACAAAAACAGAGATTACGTGCATCTCCAAGCGGCAAAGTAAATAAAAACTGGCCTTACCTCTAGCAGCTGGATCGCTCCCTCATGTTCTTTCTTAGCCTCAACCTGAGCCTACGGGAAA